GCAGTGACCTCCACCTGCAGTGACGTCATCAGACGTGCTCGCTGTGAGTCCGCTGGAAACATCTTCGTCTTACTATCAACGAATCCATTAAAAGGCCAAAACCAGCAGTGCTTTAGCCTGTCTGTCAGTGTCTTACAACCAACCTGTCTGTGGCTCTCAGCCCTCTCACTAATCTACCAAAGCAACCCAGAGAGGAAATAGTGAATATGTTAGGGACTATTTTTTGTTGTGGATTAATACATTATAGATTAGTTTCACAGTGGCAGAGTATGCATGTGGGAATAACTCAAAATAAACTACATGTTCATCATAGGAAGGAACCTGCCACCCAAAGCACCAGATTGAATTTGAATGTATGTATTTGATAGGGACTTTAACATATTTCACATACAAAGCATGAAACTGCTGCAGAGAGTTTATAATTAGTGCTAATTGTGTACAGTGAAAATAAAATATACAGCTTTAAATGCAATAAGATGCACATAATAATAATATTAATACCACAATACACCAGTAGACATACAGATATGGAGCTGCAACAATTCAGCACCACACTAATGCACCTTGGTAATCCAGAGCTACTGCTCTGTTTATATTTATATTATTATTTTAGTACTTAAGTGGGTACAGCCCTGGTTTGATTAACCTTTGTTGTCTATTTCATATCTGTGACTTTGATTTGAGTTGGTAATGTGTTCCAAGGTTGACGGCCCTTAATAATTAATGGAGAAAGCTGATTGTCCAAATTTAGATCAACAACGTGGTATTTTACAGGTGCCATTCATTATTCTCCTAGTTACTCTGTTAGTGTCTTGTGTTTTTAAGAAGACAGCTCCACACACATTGTTGGATTCATGATAGACAGTTAAAAAAAAGCAGAACTAGAGATATGGTCTTTTTTATTCCATTCCCACAATGCAACTTGACTGCAAACGGTTCGCAGTCGTACTCCACAAGACCTAAAACAGACTCTGATGAGTAAAATCAGCGCTCTTCTCTTTAATAGACGCCAGTGAAGCTTTACCAGACTTTTCCGACTTAAGTGTGACTGCTGGGAATTACTGGACACACATGATTGCCTAAACAGGATGTTGCCCCCTCACTGTTTGTTTGATTTGTTTTGTACTTCATGACTTCATCAATGTATAAATATGTGTATTGCTGAAGGTGCCTTGTTTCTGCCCACATACTGTTACATTTTTGTCTCTGGTTAAGATGATTATACGCCTGTGTGACCTCACAATAAACTGTAGCCGTCAAATGTTCAGACTGTACATTCTGCACCAAAATCAAACTCTAATATGTGTCTTTAGGGGATTCACTTCCTTTATGGTGACACAATCCCTGCTCTTATTACGTACTCTTTAAGTGCGCTGTATGTTATTTTTTTGCTGTATCTAAAACAATGATTTTAAAAGCTGAATACACTGATAAATACACTGTAGGAGAACACCAACTAAGTTAAAGTCTGTGTAAACAACAGTTAAACACAACAAAACCCTGAGACAATCTTAATCCAAAATCATTGGCTGTGACACCACATCAAAGTCCTCCAGAGCCAGGTGAGCAAAGACAGAGTCAGTTAACTCTTTCTTCACCTGACCGACCTGAGGGAAACATTTCTGCTGAAAGCAGTCATAATGGTCGGCTGAACCCGCACGTAATTACAGCTCAGGAGATTGTCTCGCAGTCACCTCACCGCACGCCTCCCTTTTCTGTTTCCTGTCAAGATAAAGAACACTTCAACACTTTCATGTGTGGACTCGCCCCCTCATGAACTACAGAGGGTCTGCTACCACACCTCAAGCTTGTGGAGGAGAAAATTAAACACTGATTAGTCTTTCAACAGCTCTGTACTTTCACCCCGCTTCCCTGCTGTGTGTGTGTGTGTGTGTGTGTGTAGCTCTTATGAAGCAGAATAATAATCAGGTAAGACAACTGGCCTGCAAATGCAAGCCAGAATTGATAAATGATACTACAGAAACACTCTACAACAACTCTCCCTCTACTATGGGAGACCAAAAAAGTGCAAAATATATTACAATATGGTTACTATAGTACATTTCATCAGGATAGCGTTGCTAGGAAACAACTTGAATCTAACTTGACTTCCTATAAAATGTTGACATCATTAGGAAAATGGAAACTGGGACTAAACTTCTATCCATGTTTAAAACTGAAAAATCTTTCCACTGTGTTATTAATGCTTCTCATTGATGTCTGTGGTGTGTGTGTGTGTGTGAGAGAGAGAGAGAGAGAGAGAGAGATATTGAACAGTTTCTGGGATATACAGTTCAAGAGTGAAGTGGAGAACCCAAGACTAGTTAACCAGTGATGACCTGGTAGGTGCAGGGTGTACTGTATCTTTTAATGTGCGATGTAAAATATGCAATGGCAAGCATAAAATCACCTTGTGAGACCAGTAAATGTGGTTTATTTCCTCTGGATTAAGAGAGATTAGCAGAAAAATGCAGATCTTCTACTTTGTGCAGCTCGGTGATACTCCATGACAGCCTGGAAATAGGCCTTTCTGTAACTGTGTTCCCTGCTATGAGATTTCAAAATGTCTGCTGTGAATCTGATTTACTTGAGAACAATAAAGGAAAAGGGCTCTGATGTTGCGAGGCTGTAAAGATACGGGTTAGTTCATTAACCAGAAATGAATGAGAAACATACATATGAAGTTAATGTCTCTAATCAGATTTCAGTCAAATTCAACCTGGGTGTTTTTACTACAAGGTTTCCCAATATTGTTGATAATCAATGACAGTAACAATCTACATGTCAATTTAGGTCAGTTTGTTTTGGAGTTTTTCTGCTGCCCCCTAGTGGCTGATAATGTATTAACACAACTTTAAGGTTAGAGTAAGTTTTATATTTTCAACTAACTTTTTTACTAATGTTTTTTTAAGTGCAGACAAAAACATCAGATCAAAGTGCTTATTATAATTTCAGGCAAACTAGTTGGTCAAAGCCTGTCAATTAATTAAAAGGTAATTAACTGGTTAATCTGATTTGTGTATCTTGTTATTTGCAGAATTTAGGCTTCACAGTTGATTTTGATGGTTTTTCTGGTTTGTAGCATTTTACAATGACTTGTGGAAAAGTACAAACTTTACTTTATCATCCGAAGTGAAATTACAACACACAAACTACATGTAAAAATGCTCTTTTTGGTGCAACATAACCGTTATTTAAATAAATGAATGAAGAGACATACAATTTGCAGGAATGAGCAACATATTGTTCAGAGAGTGTGTAAGTTAACAGTGTGACATATAATGATCTCCAATGAAGACATTTTAACTCAAAAACATGATTGTGGCATATTGGTAAAGTATTGAATAGAAATCAATACATTGTTTTATTCACAAATCCTCCTTTTTCAAAATACATGTCTTTTTTTAGTGAACATCACCAAACACTAAAATGTGACCATAGCAGATCATTAAATTAACGAATATTCAAACCACACTGGGGTGGCCAGGCAGCTGTCACCCCTCTAGATCCGCCCCTGCCACTGGTTTAATTCATAAACAGCTAATGTTTGTGCATTTTATGGATGAAAAGTAAAGTCCAAGAGCCTCAAAACGGTACTAATGTAACTGAGTTATTGAGTATTGAGGTCAGGGAGCACTGAGTTGATCTCTGTTGCTTCAGTCTCTTGTGGGGACAGTGGAGTACATGTCACAGTTGACCCACAGGGGTTGGCACAGCCTCCGTGTATGTGCCACATGCCGGTGGCCAACAGGCCTGACTGTATTAGGAGAATCCTCCCTTGTTTCTGGAGCAAGAGGCGGGCCTTTGGAAAGCTGGAATGCGCTGGAAGTTTTCCTGCAAGCTCCCCTTCACATGTGGAAGAGCGTCCGTCCCGCGCCTCAATATGGACATGTGGCCGCTGGTGCTCCTGTTCGTCCAGCTCTTCTTCTGCTCCGGATATGAAGGTAAGGACTGACAGTGACTCTCATTCACCTCTTTGGACAGTGTTAACCCCCGCTGGGGCCAGGAGGACTAAATAATCGATCATCTTCTCTTCAGGCTGGTGAAAGCAGTGTGGGATGTGACTGGTTTTGAGGCTGGATTTGAGATTAAACGCTCTGTGTTGGGAGAAAGTTTTTTTTTCTGTGTGTGTGAATCACTTTTTGTGCATGCTGCATTTGAGGCTGCTGGTTTATGGTGAACCGCGTTAGTGTTTACGTGGAGGGGGTGGAAAGCGGGGGGAGTGCAGTGTGCATCTGGGGGACGTTTCCCTGCACAGAGCACACACTGTGGCACTAATGAAAGCCTCTGCAACTACAGTGTAAGTTTAATTCTCTTTGCCTCTTTTAATGCTTCCACCAAGAGCGACCTGTTCTTCAACTCTTTGAATTAAACTGCTGCAAACGACTTTCACATCTTGTGCTGGTCTGTATTTACAGTACTTTACTGATGAGTTTCTGTCCTGGTGTTGAGTGAAAACAGAAGGACTCTCTCTCTTTCTCTCTCACACACACTGAAGTAGAGCTACAGCCTTTAGATTATGAGTAGACGGACTGAAAATGAATCTGCAACTTAATATTATATGATATATATTATTTTGATAATCGATTTATGGTCTAAGTTATTTTTTCAAGCAAAAATCTCAAACAATCTTTGCTTCCAGCTTCTCTAATGTGAGAATGTGCTATTTTTGCTTAGTTTCACATCATTATGAATGAAGTATCTTTGGGTTTTAGACTGTTTAACAACAGTTTTGCATGTTTTATAGATGAAACAATTGATCAATGATGAAAATAAGTTAGTTGCAGCTCTACTGAACTGAAGTAGAGCATCCGACATAAGAAAACATACAGACTCTCCAGATAGATGGAGCCAGACAGAGCAGGGCCTGTAGCCTGCAGTAAGGAACTGAAATGAGCTCAAGTCTGGATGGAGTACTCAGTGGTTGTGTGTGTGTGTGTGTGTGTGTGTAGTCACAGTGGCTATGTGCCTGTAGATGGTTTGAGAGTGGCTCACCACTGCTGTATGATCATACAGGCTGAAACATGAACGCAAGCTGCAGAGCAGATTTACACTGACAGACTAAAAACTGCCTGTCGAGCTGACAGTGAGGTCTCTGCTCTGTACTTATGTGTGTGTATGTGTGTGTGTGTGTTTATGAGGAGTTTATTTTACAGGGGTGTGTTTATGTTTGTTCTGCTGGTCAATTAGCCCATTTATTAGTCGAGGGTGCATGCCTCAACATTTCGTGGCAGTGCAACCAGAATGAAAAGCTTTGAGATATGGAGTCTTTTAAATAAACCTTTTAAACAGTGAACATCTTTAAGGAATCTGTTCTGCATCACTTCTCACAGTTAAACCCTTTGCAGGAAGTCTTCGTAAAAGTCTGATCATAGTTTCCATGATGAGTCTTGTGCTGATGTGAGTCTGGGGCAGATACATCCTCCACACACAGGGAGTAACTGGGGAAAATGCACCATCACTCCAATAAGTGTACAGCTGTGTCTCTGCCAGAAAAGGAGCAACAAGGTAAATCCTAAAGAATTACTAAGGAGAACCTAAGGAACTAACAGTTCATCAATGAATCGCTGAGAAGTAGTTGCTGTTCTGAAGTGTTACTTCTAAAAAAATGGTGTAAATGAGCTCAGCTTGCACATTACACAATTCATAAGATCCATAATTAATACAAAAATATTGATTAGTACAGCTTTAAGAACCCACAAACAAATGCTGTATCAATAACACAGTGAGCAATGACGTGTTTCTAACTGTGAATCAGCATACTGAACACTTTCTAAAAGAATCATTAACAATTAACTCTGCTGCTAACAACTATTATTAATTTTTAAGTCTCTCATGTATTGTTCTTCATTGCAAGTGACAAGTAGCTACTGAGCCTTTATTGGAAATACACCACTAGTTAATGAATCACACAAACCAGAGACTTGTTAAAACACATTTACAAATCAATGTTAATAATTGAGCAGCCATTGTGATTTACGTAGTTAATTAATATCTGTATTAAATGCAAACAATGGGAACTCTGGCTCGTGTTTTGGTTCTGCACCAGACTCTACAAGAGTCTTTAATTGCTACTCAGATGTTAATGGACACTAAGGCTGCACAATTAGTCAAAATATTATTAAAATTGCAATACGGCCAAATTCAATATCCAAAGCGCAGAACCAGCCAATGTTTTGATTAAGGTAAAATGTGACAAATAGAATTTTAATGAAGTACTGTAGTGCTGCAGAGATGTCCTGGTCTACAAACCTCTCCAGATGTAAGAAAACATGTTTGTTTTTATTCTTAGTTCAACATTTGTCTTTTATGTACTTGTGCACCAATTGTTATTTCTTGACTTTTTTTGAAGGGAGGGTTGGGATGAGGTAGGTTATGTTCCTGTTTTCTGGAAATGGATATTGTAAAATAAAACATATTGTACTAGATTTAAGGTTAATACTTAAATAATTACCACAGTAAACATATAATCATAATATATGTTTATAATACTATATATTAGTAGTAATGGGTTCATACCTGGCTGTAAAGTGTTAATAGATAAAAACAGCAGCAGCATTTTGTTCCTCAGGGTCAGACACTGCTGATGTGATTAAGAAACCAGCAGCAGACGTGTTGGTATACAGTTTAAATGGGACGGAAATCATTAGTGCTCCAAGAGGACTTATGTAACTCCGTAATCATGGCATGTTGAATTGAGCGATAAAGAAATGACATCCCATTTTATTTTCTGCTCTCTTCTATTCTGTTAGCCTGTAGCAATACTTCAACATTTACAGGGACTGAGCATCCATATAATGATTGAGTTTGTATTACAGGCCCGCAGAGAAAAGCTAATTGGAATATCAGGCTCTGAAAATTGAAGCTCATACACTCCCAGAGGTTTGTGAGGAAGACAAGCTTTTACACTTCTTGCACTGTTAACACTTTGACATCTTTCTTGCTCCTTTGAAGTCGCAGAGATAAACAGGAATATGATGCTGGCTTCATCTTGTTGACATATTTATTAGTTAAGAATACAGACGAGTCCCACATCACATATTCTCTGCTTTGGATTTGTTTGAAGCTGGAAAGCTTTTATAAACAAGGACAATCCAGGGCAAAGCAAACAGCAGTGCCAGCAGATTGAGGCCTGCACCAGTCCTACCTACGCCACCTATCGGAAAGAAGGGTTTAGATATGCAGTTTAAGCATGGTATCAAAAGTGGATATAGTTATGTCATTCATTGCATAGACCAAAGAAGATTTTTATTTCTGGTTGGCCAACAGTGACTAACATGTGTACAGCAAATGCATGTTAGTGTCTCTTTCTCTCACCCTGCAGGCTATTTTTTCACAGGGATGACTTCACACACCACAAAAGGCTTGTCCAGGCTCTGCAAAATGTTAAGAGTTTTATTTAATTAAGCACATTTTCTGCTCAATATAGGGAGGTCTACAGAGTTCACACACTGCCCAGAGCATCCTCGTATGCCCTCTGTCCGGGTTGTTTTGGAGGAGGTCGTGGCTGAAAAATAGGAATGCAAAAAGAAATCGAGACAATTAACAATAAACTGACTGAAGCTTCGGTTCTGTCTCGCATGTTATTGTTTACATATTTCTTGTTTATTAGTTAAAACGACAGAATATTTCTACATTAACATCATGGGGAAACCCAAGTAATTGATGTTTATCAAAGACAAAATTATAGCAGTTGATCCATGAGGTTGCAATCGCAATTCAATTTTTAATGAATAATACAAAAAGTGGCTTAAAACAGCCATTCTTTAAAGGAAAAGCTGCCGTGAAATCAGGCTGCAACAAAGAAAAAACAGCCACTAGTTGAATTGTCTGTGAAGATTCTCAGTCGTCCAGGTTGCAGTATATCTACAGTAGAAGACAAAGGCAACTGGACTGCAACAGAAGTTTGGGGAGGGGGCTTTTATTGCCTTTAGGACAGCTGAAGAGTGACAGGAAAGGGGGAGAAAGAGAGATAGAGAGGGGGGATGAAACATAGCAAAGGGCCACAGGTGAACCCATGGCCGCTGCAGCAGGGACTTAACCCTGGTACATGGAGCACCAGTTCTACCAGGTGAGTTACCAGGACTTTATATCTGATCTAATGTTTCTGCTTTTGAAACAATATGGACCATATGCTGGATAGAAATCTTACCACTGTCCTTTAACTACATGAGGTGTCTCTAGAGTTAATTTTCCTTCTGTATGTCGCTTTATTTTGGTCCTTATAAATGTTGGTTTGGTTGTTAAGTGTTGTGGATGTGGATATGAATCTGTCAGGTTACACAATCTGGTTACATTAAATTGTTATTACAGTTATGTTTCTTTTTCTTGGCTTGTTAAAAATTATATGTGGAATCTGTGACAGTTATGTGGGTGTTATTCTTGTTTTCCAACAATATAAGTGGACAGGTGGCATTAAAAAGTAAAGGTTTTAACAAAAAATCACACTCACAAAGAAAACAGCAGCTTTAAAAGAACGAAACTGCTGCTGTAACACCCATTGCCTGCAGGTGGCGCTAGTATTCAAAACTATAGCAGCTTTTACTTTTTTCCTGTAGGAGGTAACTACATTTGTAAGTGTTAATACTGCTGTTACTGTTTCCTATAGTGGTGCAGATTGGCATGTATGCAATGACCCTTGTGGTAAGTCTGCAGCCTGCTAAACGTGAACGAGTGAGTTTGTGAGCGAGTTAACTTAAAATCCTTTTTCAGGTTGATTTAGGTGACACCCGTGGTTTACAGCAAACACTCCTTGAGTGGCAGAAGAGCAGCTGTTTACATGTATCTGTTTACATTGCAGCCAAACAAACTCAATGTTTTAATAAAGACATCTGCCCTTATTTCATCATAACATCAGCAACCACGATCTGATTTCATGCTGCACACAGCGGGAGTAGTTTTCCACCCAAACAGCAGGACACAGTGAAGTTGTGTCTTTGCTAAGGAGTTGTAGGTGTTTAGGTTGTCGCTTCTGCCTGCTTCTTGCTCCCTTACTCCCATACAAATTTTTAAAATGATCCACAGAAGAAATAATAGACACATTTTTGATGTACGATTGCAGTTGGGGTTAACCGCAGTGATAAATACGTTGTGTGTCCTGTGACTGCTTCACAATAAAAGTCAGCCTGTGTTTTGCCAGTTTAATGCTTTTAATATGAAGCAGCTAGAGATCAAATATTTGCTTTGAATTATTAGTAACTTAATACAGCTCTGACACTGTTAAGAGAGTGAAAAGTAAACACTGTGGCTGTACAAAAATATTTGGATGCATCGTTTCCTGTCAGTCTCTCTTACATGTGAAGGCAACTTGAATCAAGAGCAGGATGGTGGACTTAACTTCTGTATAGAGACTGGGGTGGGAAAGACTTTATTGAGACCAGTACCATTATTTATTCTGGTTATTGGTCATTTGGTCTGGTTATTCTTTGTCAATTCACTTATTGATTCCTGATCAATTTTCTGTGTGGGGAAAAAAGCCCTGCACAGGTTTTTAGCGTCAATGCAACTGTTTGAACACAGTGTAGACAGTTTTCTTCAATGCTCAGCTGTCAGAAAAAGATGATTTTAACTTTAAAACTTTCTTGAGTTGGTGATTTGTATCTGAAGAAGAGAGAGCAAGTAAATCTTTGTTTGTGGTAACACCTGACAGCCGATTTAAAAAAGCTACCATTTGCTGTGGTGTAAATTTTTGTATCCTGTTTGCCTGGAATGGCTGCAAGTTGTTACAGAACTGATCATTTTTCTGCCGCATTTGACTCTAACTAATGTTCATTTTTAAGGGCAGACACACACACACACCTGTAATTAGTTTTCCATACCTTTCTCTGCCTGTCTCCTTCCCCCCATTAAGAAGCAGACACTGAAGTTTTCCCATTAGACAGCTAAATCTGACTCACCCAGTATGTGGGTTTGCTCTGTACAATCCATGCGGTGTGATCTGACTGCTAAAACCTCAGAGCTTGTTGTGTGTGAGTGTATGTGTGTGTATTAGATGGCCTGTGGCATTTTGATCCAGACAGCTTTTATTAAACTGACAGAAAAGCCATGATGAGAAATTGGAGGGGGGGGGGCAGGACGTGAGATGTGCTCATAGTATCGGGTTCAATGACCAACATGCGGCTGATATATGAAGCTGTAGGAGGGAGAAACACTCATTCACTTGTGGATCCTGAACAGAGGACACATTCACACCGGGGTTCATAACATCCCAGAGCCAAGGTTGAACACCCCTCCCCCTGCTTTAACCCCTTCCTCACCTCTTTCCTCTCTTTTTCTGTAAGGCGCCCTGACTTGCTCCCCCCATCCCTTCATCCTCTTTCCTAAAATAATCCTCCTTGCTCATCACAATTCTCCTCACATTGGTGTCACCCAACTGTGTCCTCCACCAGCTCTGCAACCGCCACCTCTGAGAAAATATATAAGTTCTTTTTGGATGCTCTGATTGATGTGTTCACTGTTAATGTTGACTTAAAATGGTAAGTATGATCTATAGGAGCTCTTTTGGAACAAAAAGTTTCAAAATAGTTTCACTCCTTCCATTTCTACCAAACGCAGTAGAGAGCCACAACAAATAAAAAACCTCCACTGGATTGAGCAGAATGAATCTTTGTGTTAAACAGATTCATTTTTCCAACCCAGCTGGAAAAGAGGATCTTTTGAGACTTATTCCTTGTGCATGTGGTCTGTCCAAAAGATCCTTATCCCCCCAGAGTCTGGTTCAAATGAAAAGTTAAGCAATATGTTCGAGCCTGTTCTTGGTGCTGTGTTTTGCAGAGGTCAGCCCAGGACAATGCTTCCAAACATTGCCTAACATCTTGGATGCAGCTCTTTTCGTGGTATTAGTTGCTTTTTCTTCTTTTCTTTCATCCTCAGGGTCAGGACAGTATGCCTACGGAGACGACGAGGACTGGCATTCTCGTAGATATAAAGGTGATTACATGCTCAGTTTGACACCGCCAGTACATGCACACACGGAACACTGAGTGACTCACATTTTAATTTAGGGAGGGATTCATTACGTCAAGATCAAATCTTTGAGCATTTATGAAGTTCCTCCAGTCTTAAAGACACAGTGAAGGTGTCATTATCTAAACAGCTGCAAGAGACAACCTGGGAATGAGAACAGGCTTTCACACGTGTAGGAGTGGTGGTCTATGGTGGCCGCGAAACTCACTACAGCTCATTCTACGGTAACAAAAACACAAAAATTCAGTTTCTGCCAATAGATCCTCCTAAATGTTACACATGGCCCTTTGAATAAAATATGATACAGAGCTCAGGGCCAACGTTGATCAGAAACAGGAGGGTGCCGGAGAAATAAATAAATTAAAGCAAAATGTAAACAAAACAAAATGTGTCCGCTTCACTTTCAAACACGACCTATGAACTCTGTTATCCGCTACAGGCGTGCTAGCTACTACGACCCGCTAGCTAGTTGCTTCAAATAATATTTAATTGGCTTCATTTGTATGCCTCTGAGCATATAAATAAGTAATTAACATATTTTAATGTTTACTATTACTACTCTAAAATTAGTATATAATACTCGTATTAAGGACGTGTGTGTATCTCTGACCTAAGATATGTTAGCTGCTATGACACACGATCAAGTGTGTAGCTAGTTGCACCAAATCCAATTTGATTAATTTATGTACACCAAGTTCAAGATGTTTCAAAATTATTTCAGTATTTTACAATAAAATAATAAGATAAGAGCGGGATTTTGGTTAATACCTTAAAGTTTTGACTTTCATTTGGAATATAACAAAATATATCTGGACAGCTAATACAGGGTGACAGGATTACAATTAGAAACATTTATTTTTGTATTTCACTGAGTCTCTAAAGATTCAGTGAATAATTCAATGTCAGTCAGTTCAGCCAGTTTTGTGAACTGACTTAGTTACGTCAAAGTAGCTTCCAGCTTTAAATTCGGGGTCAGTTAGATGCGGAACATTATCGTCCAGGCCAAACCAAACTCTCCCCTTGTGTAAAAGCTCAAATGTAGTATTATTTTCTCTTACTCAGTGGTTGTGGAGACTTTGCCAACACACACACACACACACACACACGCTCAGAGCGAGTGAGGGAGGATTGCTGTGTAATGAATACTCATTTTAATTCCAACTGGAAATTAGCCTAAACTAGTGTGTATTCTCCTCTCCAAGTGTGTGCTTGGATGTGTGTGTGTTGGTGCACAGGGCTGAGTGTTTGACTTGAGCCAGCAGGAAATAAAATGCAGATTTTGATTTCCCTGTAATGGAATAAAAACCTTGCGGCCCCTCAAACTTGGCATCAAACAAGGAATTTTTTTTTATCGCTCAATTCAACATGCCATTTTTTTTAAGTTTTTAGAGATGGGTAGAGGTATCCGCCATGGGAGGAGAAAAGCTGAAAACAAATGCAGTTGTCTGATCTTAAAGGAACAGTTTGACATTTTGGGAAATGCGCTTGTTCGCTTTCTTGATGAGAATTAGACGATCAATAACACTCTCATATCTGTACAATCAAATATATAGAGTCAGGAGCCGGTTATCTTAGCTTATTAGCTTAGCATACACTGAAAACAAGGGAAACAGCTAGCTTGGCTCTCCATCAACCAACACCTCTAAGGCCAATAAAGATGACTATTCAATTATTATATCCTGTAAGCTAAGCTAAGCTGCTGTTAGCTGTAGCATCACATTTACCATACGGACAAGTAATTAGTATTAATATTCTCATCTGACTGTCCCTTTAATGGTGTCGTTATTGTTCTGGGGAGTAATATGTCTGTCATCAGTCTAATAGATGTCATGTAAGGGATCGACTAATTCTTGGAGCGACAACGCAACAAAAAGCTGATACTTAAAGTCAGCACGTGCTAATAAAGAGCGGCACTCTCATCACAGACCTTTATCTGTCACACTATCACACACATTCAGAAAGCTAAGAGCTCTCTACACATCATTATCTGTCTTTTGCTCAAGTGAGACTATCTGCTTTGCCTCATGAGACACTGTTGGATTATGGGAAGACGCAGATAAGGTAATGAGAAATCCACCGCATCTGTCTGAACTCAGATGATGGGTGGGTTTTTACACAAAGTCTTTCTCAGCTTCAACAGTCTTCAGGTAAGTGCTTATTATTGAATACCGATATTAACAACAGTCTCTCCCTCTCCAAAAGCTGTACCGTATAAAAAAACAGAGAATTGCCTTGATGCACTGAAGAAAAGGTCAGCGCAGCTATCTTTTGCTCCATTTGTAGGGACACCGTGGTGTGCGCCCATTAAGGTGAAACATGGTGACGTAAGCTGTCGCACACCCAGAGGAGAGCACTACAGGAACGTGATGGGGACACGCTGCAAAATCCGCTGCAAGCAGGGATACGAGGCCCAGAGCTCGGAGGTGGTGTGTATGGCCAGCAAACACTGGTCCTCTAACTACGCCTGCAGAGGTAGGAACTGACCTCCATCTGAACACGCACACACATCCACGCATGCACCTACATACTATGCCTCGTGTGGATTCCTGATTACAGTTCTTACATTTTTGAGCAAGTTCATTCTTGGCCCAGGAAATAACAGGTTCACTTGAATGACTTTGAACCACATCTTCAATCGGGGGAGAGAGTTTGGATATTCTCCAGAGGAACCGTTTTAATTAATTAAAATTGCCTGTAGCTGATGTTTAGGATTTAAAAATGAGTTCATGTTTATGCAACAAATTTGTAAACAATTACATGGATCAATTTCTTCTCCCTATAGTCTATTCTTGGCAGGGTGTGAAATCCCCTCTGAACAGTAATTAAATAAGATACTAATGGAAAATTATTGCCACTAGTACTACTTCTGCTGCTGCTGCTGCTGCTGCTGTTGTTGAGGTTATGCTCTAAAAAGCTAGTTTGTACAATGTCGTTAAAACAAGTGTTTATTTCTGTTTCGAATGGCCGCACTCAAAGATGGGGTGAAAACATGGCTGTTGTAGAGAGGCCATTGTAATTAAAATTACTACCATTACTACTGCTGATATCATCACTGCTTGAATAGGTTCAAGTTCCTAGACAGTTTAGTGTTGATCAATTAGATCAGTGTAATTAAAAACACTGCATTATTTCTAGCATATTAAAGAAGACCAACGGTGAGTGGTTGATATATGAGACCAAGATTGACCAGTAAGTCAAAGAAGGCCTTTCATCAACACTGTTTCATCAACAATGTTTCTCTGGCAGAGATTCGCTGTCCCAAGCTGAACATGCCGGCTAACGGTGGCTACAAGTGTTCGGACGGCTCCTACTTCAACTCTCGCTGTGAGTTTTTCTGCTCCCCTGGATTCAGTCTTAAGGGCCAAAAGACGGCAACCTGCCAGTACAGCAAGGTGTGGAGCGCCGGGGTCCCCACCTGTGTCGGTAAGGCTGCGTGTGTGTTGTTCTTTTATCTCTCACAGAGAACTGGAGCCGGCAGACTATTTATCTGGATTATAAAAACCTATGTAACAGGTAATTTACTTGCTTAAGACATAATGTCAGCTGCAGACTCCTGGAAAAAGGTATACGACGGAAAGTGCTCCTCATAATAGAAGGTTATGTGATTGTTGTTTGGATAAAAAACAGGCCTCATGTAGACATGTACATATACACACACACATACTGTGGTTCGTCTTTGTAGCATCTGAGCCTAAAAATGACTCGACTCTATTTTATCATGAAAAGCTGAGCTATAAAGCCTGCACTTAGTGGATCATATTAATGGCTGAATAGTCTTGCGACCTTGGTGACGGTGAACAAACACAAAGATTTTGTGTGTACAGACGCATTCACAGGCTATCTCGTCCTAACAGTGCTGCTCATAAAGGGACACTGAGTCCCCTACGTCTGTCTGTAAGGACAAATTTAGCCTTTCCTCAGAGTAGTGATTCACCTCACTTTTTCATTCAGCTTAAAAATGTGTCTCTGTCTTGATCATTAGACTCTGAATACTGTGGGAGAATGAAAAGTCCAGGTGTTTTTATTGTAAAATGGTGCTGCAGGAATGTTGTGTGGAGGGAGCTGCTATAAAGACAGAGTGGTTTCTTTCTATTATTAAATATAAAGCTATAATATGTAACCTTTTTCGCAGTAGAAAGTCTAAAAACACTAAACCTATGTTATATATTTTTTGAGTGGTGTACTTCCATTATCCACAATGTTTCTAACAATGTTCAAACCCAAAGAAATCTGTCATTTTATTCAGGTGCATTTCAACAGCTTAATTTCCCCTTTGTGCTTGCATCAGCATTGTGGTTGTCATAAATTGACTTTTTATCCAGTTTTAAGCCATATTTTTATAGCGTTAAAAACAAGTATAAAAGCTACAAAAGAGAGTTATGTTGCAACAAAATGACAATCTGATCTAAGATTTATCTGTGTAATACTTATAATATCAGGAATTTATTTTTTGTTTCTTTTTTTGCCATTTCTTGGATGCTGCCTTTTTCTCTGGGACATTTAGCTTAGCAGTCACAAGCATATTTATTTATTTATTTATCTGTTTCAAGATTCTTGTTAAAATTAGACTATAAAAAGTCAGCTGGTGGTAGCTTAATTTGCACGCTGTCCACAGGTGATCAAACCTGTCATTGACTGGCTAGAAATTAAACGCTGCCTTTATCTTCTTCTGTCTGAAATCATAAGGACCCATTGTTTCATTCTTCATTTCTTCCGTTCTTTGTTTCTTCCTCTCTCTCTGTAGATATGGATTCTCCAAAAATCAAGTGTCCTAATGTGAAGGATAAATGGGCAGAACCAGGAAAACTGACAGCGCGGGTGACCTGGGACACTCCAGAGGGTGTAGACACTGCAGATGGCATCCTCACAGAGTCAGTCTCATCTCCACCACCCTTTTTTAAGCTTTTCTCCCATTTTGTTTCAGTGCACTCAGTCTGTTTTAGCCCTGTAGGTTATCCCACCTGGAGCAGAGAGATCACAGTGAAACATTAAAACACAGTCTGTCTTTTGCAGCGTTATCCTGAAAGGAAAACCTTCAAAATCAGACTTCCCAGAGGGGCTCCATAAGATGTCCTACACTGTGTTTGACCGCGCAGGGAACAAAGGATCCTGCCGCTTTACTGTCAGAGTGCGAGGTGAGAGCTTCTAAAAGCAGAGTAAGACATAGAAGCTTTTTGATAATCTGTGTGCCACAGGATTTTCCGTAAGACTTTCTTTTATGGGTTATATCCAAGAAGTCTCTCCTAATGTGGTACTAATAATAGGAAAAATAGAGACTGTGTTCAATTGTTACACCTCTAATTTATTCTAACCTAGATATCTTTTAGTCTACAGGCAAGAGTACAATTCAACATAAATGGGGTATAACCACTTACTTGGGTTTAAATGGAGCTTTTTGCTCAAGGATACTCCCACAAGTTCCCTAAAATTAGTACCAAATTACATAGTTTTTCTTTTTCTGGAAAGTTACTAGGAGATTCTTTGCAAATTATGGACCAGTAAATTTAAACAGTACCACATTTTCTGGCCTTAACTGATACCTGTAGAAAATTGTTTTGTTGCAAGGAGGTCAGAGGTTCGTCACTTCTCCACAAATGAGCTGGTCCTCCCTCCCTGTCCTGGTGACCTTTATTGACTTGGGAAGTTCAGAGTTTTAAGTTTACAGTACAAGTTGTGACATTAAATAAATACTGCCCAAGAGTGTAGCAAAGTCAATGGAAAATATATCCATATAACTTATATAACTTATATTCTTTGTCAATAACCACCTCTTTGTCAATAATTCCACTCTTTGGTTCATCAGCAGGAGCTTTTTTCATTTGTTCACTTCAAGTATCCACCTATGTGTGGTCATGTGATATTTTCTGAATTTAAAAGTTTACTAGGAAGCAGACCTTGCCGGTCTGTTATGGTGTGTTCGGTGTAGAAATACAACTTTGAGAGGATCCAGCCTGTGAGTTAAGACATGATAATGATAAAGAAGTGTGAGCTTGATTCTTCTAGTTCAAGGCTGGAGATTCAAGTGATGCATTTACTACTCTACTGTCTGCATGGCCAAATTGGTCTTAGATTTATTCAGATTTATATATGAAAGCCCCCTCATTGTTTGCTAAATCTGGTCACATGACCAGAAGATGATTAGCATTCATCTTCTTACACAATCTTTAATTTAAAGTTTCTATTTCATCTGATGAAGATGTACTTTATTTAGAGTCTACAGTCACACCTGTAGTTTGTAGAGCGGTTCTAGAGGTTGTATTCAAGCACAGCAGAACTTTGAGCTACATGCTGATGAAAAGCAGATATAAGGTTTGCTATGTTCACCATATAATTAGTTTAGCATGGTAAAGCTGATTAAAATTGTGTTTTTCAGGTATTTGGTCATAAACCAAATTGGACAAATTTGAATTTTAACCTGATGGTGGTGCAAGTTATAAAGTCAGGAGATCTTCCAACTAGAATCCTTGCCTTTCTTAGAATTTGTATTTGTGTACACACATTGAATGCCAATCTTGCTATTTTTTCTTTCCTTTAGTTCCACCTTTCTGCCTGTTACTGATGTTTTATGTCTAATGTGGCTCTCTTTCTATGTAGTGCGTCGCTGCAGCCCACTATTTCCCCCAGACAACGGTTATATGAAGTGTGACAGTGACGGAGACAACTATGGGGCCACTTGTGAATTCACTTGCACCGGCGGCTACGAGCTGCAGGGCAGCGCTGCCAGAGTGTGTCAGTATGGACTCACCTGGTCTGGCACAGACACAAACTGTGCACGTACGTATTACATGCAGATAAACACACACACTACACAAACAAATATTTTATTTTATTTTGAATTGCTCATAGTAGTTTGCAAAAACAAATACTTAGTTATATATAACACGTAGGATTTAGTGGCATCTAGTGGTAAAGTTGCAGATAGCAACTAACTGAACACTGCTCGCATCTGTATTTGATGACCTGTTCTGGGCTACTGTAGAAACAAAACTAAAAAACAAACTAAAAATAAAAGACTAGACTCGATAATAAGAGTAGATTAAGGTTAGGTTAATATTATAATCTTAATTTTTCAGTTTCATTTTGTTTTGTCTGTAGTTTCAGTAAGGTTTTATAAATCATACACTTCCCTCAGTCTGCTTTCCCATTGTCTTGGTACACGTAGTATTAATTGACTTGGTGTCTGTCCATTCTGGCAACAGTTTCCATGTTTCACGTTCATGTCTGAGCTCTCATTTATTTTAAACTTGCTCAGTGCTGTCTTGTGCCATAGCAGTCTTATGTAAAGTGTGCTTATCTGTGCTGAAGTGGTTCCATGTGAGAAGCTCAGTGGAGGAGAAAATGGGCCTCTCTGCTATCCATCGATTAGAAAAATCAATACTGGACGCCCCTCCATTGAATGTCTGTATCTGTGAGACATGAATAAGTAGCGGATGGGAGGACTGTGTTGCAGCTCTTGTGCAATGGACCATCAGCAATTTATAGTCAATGTTGCATGTTCAGTTCACTGTTAAATACACTGCGATGGTGCACGAGTTTCCTATTTGATTGCGTCTGCTCAACAACCCAAAAGAATCAAGAATCATGAAGCTTCTCACTGTAATATTGTGTTGTATTAAATCTTGCACTCTTGTACGGTGTCATATCTTATATCACTTAATTGCACATTCAATGTCATCACAGCCATGAACATTAACGTGGGAGTGCGTACGGCTGCTGCACTGCTGGACCAGTTCTATGAGAAACGACGGCTCCTCATTATCTCGGCCCCGACGGCTGCCAATCATAATTACCGATTCCAGATGACTAACTTACAGGTGAGGCATGACTCACAGGGAGAACATGAGTTGTGTGTGTGAAGTGAAGGAGTGAAGAAGCGTTAAGAGTCAATACTTCACTTGATTTCCACTGCTGCTCACAGACAGCATCGCATCTTCTTCTCGCTTTGCTGCCTAAGTGGGACAAAGCTGTGAGACAAACAAAAAGGGGGTCCGAGGTGTCCAGATGAACAGAAAACGTTGAGGCGATGAATAAACAATACTGACACTGGCTTTGATAAGGCTATTCTGGAGCTGTATGATTCGCCGGCCTGTCAGGAAACATTAAGTCAGAGTTGTCTTTAAACGCTGGACCTCTCAAAGTGACTGCTTATCAGCTGACAGTGTGGACAACCTGAGTGACCAGCCCTGCTAGTCAGCTAGTTATCAGGAGTTTGTCCTACTCAGAGCTGAATTGATTAGCCGATTAGTCGGTTAGTCAGTCAACAGAAAATTCATTATCAATTATTTGGTAATTGGTTAATTTCAAAGCAAAAATGGCAAAAAATCATTAGTTCCTTCTTCTCTATGTGAAGATTAGCCACAATAGCAATTAGTTTTTTCAAGATACAGTCACATATTTACTGCAAACAGCTTAAAATAATGTTAATGCAGTGGCAGATTTTATTTTCTCTTGCTTTAGTTAGAAACAAAAGTGAAAGAGGATTTCTTTAATACTAAGGATACTCTGGAAACAAATGTCCCCTTTGGGCACAATAAAGTCTATCTATCTATTCCTTGTGTCACAAATCTGCAGTTAAGCGAGCACATACTGTAGCTGTAGTCGTACATCACTGATTCACAACTTGTACCCAAGGGGGTACCTATAGTGTGGAATAGCTCAGCTAATTTGAAAAGATATGATTTGGTATAAATATATATCCACATGCTGTATTTTAGAAGGAAAATAAACACAAGTAGGATCATACATTGCTGTGAGGCTAATCTTTAGTATATTAATGGGTAATTATAATAAGACAATTATATAATGTAATAATAACATCAACACATGAACAATGTCTGGTTAGTCCCCGCCCACATCTAGTATAAGCCCCGCCCACTCCAACAAGTACAGATATTAATACAGATACATATACATATATTTAGTTGGTTGACCAGATACAGATAATAGTGTATTCGCTTGTCCCTAATTAATACCATAATAACCAATAATCTACCAACTACAACAGATGACAGAGAGGACAATTCCCTCTACCAACCTGAGTTAACTGTAACACCTGAGAGCTCAAAGAACTTATACTTGTACGACGTACACGTCTTGAACTCAGCTGTAAGGTGAGCACCGAGAAACTTTCTCCCTTCAGCAGATGAATGTGAAAACAGCCTTTTAGT